AAGGCAGGGTTACAGCAAGAGAGACTGAGACAGCGTCTCCCAGGGTCCCCACCACTCCTGCGTGCCATCCCTTCAGCTCCTGCTCCAATGGAAGCAGCCAGGGCTGTCCACGAGGCTGCAAGTCTTCTTCCGGCCACCAGGTGGCAATGCTGTACCGCGTCGGGGTCCTGTCTGCTGTCCACTGCCCTGACAGGTCCCTGACTTTCTGGGGCGAGGACTCGTGGATGCCCCTGAAGAACAGAGCTGCAGTCTCATTGTCCCTGCCCTCTTCCCGTGGGCGGTCTGCCCCTGTAGAAACGCCCGCTGACCTTGGCTTTGGGTTTGGGGGAGACCCCCAGGGCCAGAAAGAAGCAGAGGAACCTCCAACCCCGACCCCTAAGTTCACAGCGCTGACTCTGCCATCAGTTTGCTGTGTGGCAACCTCGGGCCTGACATGCCCTCTGTGGTCCTCCGCCAGCCCGCCACTGGCCCTGGGTAGGTGTCTGGCTCAGGGGTTAAGCTGGGGACACTTGGAGCCCAGATCAGAGCACCTGGGGTCAGGGGTCAGGGCCCAGGTCTGCGCTCCATGTCTTTTTTCTCTTTTAAATCTTCATTGATTTTACTTGATACAGTTACAGAGAGAGTGCTTCCATCTGCTGGTTCACTCCCAAATGGCCTAAACAGCCAGAGTTGGGCCAGTCCATATCGGTGCTAGTTCAAATCCCGGCTGATCCACTTCCAATCTAGTTCCCTGCTAATGGCCTAGGAAAGCAGTGGAGGATGGCCCAAGTGCTTGGGCCCCTGCACTCACATGGGAGACCAGATGAGACTCCTAGCTGTGGCCTGGCCTTGTCCCAGCTGTTGCAGCCAACTGAGGAGTGAACCAGCAGATGGAAGCTCGCTCTCTCTCTCTCTCTCTCGTCCTGTCTCTGTAACTCTGCTTTTCGAATAAATCGTTTTTTTAAGAAAAATATTCAATAAATCTTTATTGGAAAGTCAGATCACATTTACAGAGAGAAGAGAGACAGAAGGAAGGATTTTCCACACACTGCTTCACTCCCCAAAAGGTCACAACAGCCAGAGCTGAGCAAATCTGAAATCAGAAGCTGCTTCTGGGTCTCCTACATGGGTACAGGGTCCCAAGGCTTTGGGCCATCCTCGACTGCTTGCCCAAGCCACAGTGGATGGACGCTCCTTCTGTCTCTCCTCTCTGCAAATCTGCCTTTCCAATAAAAATAAATCTGTGTTAAAAAAAAAAAAAAGGAAAAAGAAAAACAAATGTCAACCCCCCTTTTGGTCACCAGAGAGCACTGCAAGCACACAGCCTTCCGTCTGCCTCTGTGCTCCCTGCCTGGACTGGGGAGACCAGCAAAGGTGGCTGCAGGTGCTAGGACAACATCTCAAGATGAAAGCTAGGAGGAACTGAAGGCCATCCAAGGCCACCGCTGGTCCAGCTTCATCCAGCATCATCCTCTCATCCGATCCCCCATCCACCTGCCCCAGGACCACGGCGGCCAAGATCCCTGTCTGAGCCAAGTCCATGGGCTCTCACCCAGGAGCCCATCCCCTTCTGCCATTGACCCACCTGCCCATCGAGCCACTGCTCCCAACCTCAACCCATCTTTTCATTCACCGCCTGCCCACCCATCTCTGCCACCCACCCACCCACCCACTTCTGCCTCCAGTTACCGCTCCCCTTGGCCTCCCAGAATGAAGGGGCTCCCAGGGTCAACGGCGGACAGAGATTGGACCAGGTGGATGGAGTCAGTGGCTTGCCTCAGTGGGTGTGAGCCTTAGTAAGTCACATGTAAAGCATTTAAAACGTGTGAAGCGTTTAGAAATAGCAAGGCACCCTTGGCCAAAAAAAGCTATAACAGCAACAAGTCCATTTTTTAAGGATTTATTTATTTTCATTAGAAAGTCAGATTTTATAGAAAGTAGGAGAGACAGAGAAAAAGATCTTCCATCTGCTGGTTCACCCCCCAAGTGGCTGCAATGGCCAGAGCTGAGCTGCTCCAAAGCCAGGAGCCAGGAGCTTCTTCTGGGTCTCTCACATGGGCACAGGGTCTCAAGGTTTTAGGTCGTCCTCCACTGCTTTCCCAGGCCACAGGCAGGGAACTGGTTAGAAGTGGAGCAGCCAGGAATGAACCGGTGTCCATATGGAATCCCATTGCAAGCAAGGTGAGGACTTTAGCTAGTAGCCTAATGCACTGGGCCCAACAAGTGCATTATTTTTTTAAAAAGATTTATTTATTTATTTATTTAAAGATTTTTTTCTTTTTTTAAAACTGGAAAATCAGATATATTGTGAGGAGAGGCAGAAAGATCTTCTGTCTGTTGATTCACTCCCCAAGCGGTCGCAATGGCAGGAGCTGAGCCAATCTCAAGCCAGGAATTAGGAGGTGCATGGTTCCAAGGCTTTGGGCCATCCTTGACCATTTCCCAGGCCACAAGCAGGGAGCAGGATGGGAAGCGGGGCCGCCAGAACGCAAACTGGTACCCATATGGCATCCCAGCACGTGCAAGGCGAGGATCTTAGCTGCTAGGCTACCATGCCGGGCGCTATATATATATTTTTTTTTTTTAATTGGAAAGACATAATTACAGAGAGGGATATACACACAGAAAAATCTCTGTCTAGTGGTTCACTCCCAAGTTAGGAGCCTTCTCCACTGCTTTCCCAGACACTTTAAAAGAGAGTCTGACCAGAAGCGGAGCCCAAAGGGAATGCAGGTGCTCAGGCCAACTCGTAGCCGGCTACACCACAGGGCCAGTGCGAGCACATCTTTTCGTCATTCGGGGTCTCAGCCCTTGGAGCTGTGAGATGAGGATAATGACACAATCTCTTCTGTTGGCTCGTTCGCAATGATGGACTCAAGGGGACCAAGCTCTATTAGCGCTGCCACATGGACCTGCCTGAACACTCGGCGCTCCGCCAGGGGGCGCAGCGAGCTCAGCCCGAGCGCAGGTCCCAGTGCGGCGGAGACCAGCGAGGGTGAGTGGAGACCAGCGAGGGTGAGTGGAGACCAGCGAGGGTGAGTGCTGACCAGCGAGGGTGAGTGGAGACCAGTGAGGGTGAGTGCTGACCAGTGAGGGTGAGTGGAGACCAGCGAGGGTGAGTGCTGACCAGGCGGGGTGAGTGGAGACCAGCGAGGGTGAGTGGAGACCAGCGAGGGTGAGTGCTGACCAGTGAGGGTGAGTGGAGACCAGGTGGGGTGAGTGCTGACCAGGCGGGGTGAGTGGAGACCAGCGAGGGTGAGTGGAGACCAGCGAGGGTGAGTGCTGACCAGGCGTTGTGAGCTGGTGACCAGCGAGGGTGAGTGGAGACCAGCGAGGGTGAGTGCTGACCAGGCGGGGTGAGTGGAGACCAGCGAGGGTGAGTGCTGACCAGGCGGGGTGAGTGGAGACCAGCGAGGGTGAGTGCTGACCAGGCGGGGTGAGTGATGACCAGGTGGGGTGAGTGCTGACCAGTGAGGGTGAGTGGAGACCAGTGAGGGTGAGTGCTGACCAGCGAGGGTGAGTGGAGACCAGGCGGGGTGAGTGGAGACCAGCGAGGGTGAGTGCTGACCAGGCGGGATGAGGTGGTGACCAGCCATGTCCCGTCTCTGCGGCCGTGGCAGCCCACTGCCCGCGGCCGCTCCCGTCCACGTCAGGCCACATGAGCGCCTAGTCCTGCCCGCCCAAAGCGACCCTGCTCCAGCTGTGTCCACCTCGCCAGCGGTGGGACCCTTCTGTGGGCTTTACCGACTCCAGTGCGTGAGGAAATGGGGTGGGAACAGGTCTGTCAATGTGGACACCCTGGGGTGCCTTCCCCTGGGTCTCTGCGGACACACGCCCCCATTCTGAAGGCTTTGGGTGAGGAGTTCAAAACTCCACGCCGGTGTCAATTCACACTTTATATTATTAAAACTTGTTTAGGGGTCCAGCGCAGTGGCCTAGTGGCTAAAGTCCTCACTTTGTGCCGCAGGGATCCCATACGGACACCAATTCTGATCCCGGCAGCCCCACTTCCCATCCAGTTCCCTGCTTGTTGTCTGGGAAAGCAGTTTAGGATGGCCCAAAGCCTTGGGGCCCTGCATCCACATGGGGGATCCTGAAGAAGCTCCTGGCTCCTGGCTTAGGATCAGTTCAGCTGTGGCCACTGAGGCCACTTGGAGGGTGAACCAGCAGATGGAAGATCTTCCTTTCTGTCTCTCCTCCTCTCTGTATATCTGATTTTCCAATAAAAAATATAAATATATAATTTTATATAAATTAAAATATAAATTATATAATTTTATATAAAATATAAAAATAAATCTTTAAATAAAAATATCTAGAAAGCACAGAAAATGTCTGCCTCAGGCAGAGCTGACCTGACCTGAAGCCAGGAGCCAGGGATCCTGGGGGTTTCCCAAGTGCCCACAGGGTCAGTTTAGCCATCGCATACCACCCCACCCCCTAGCAAATTCTAATCAGCACAAACACCTATGACTCACACATCACCAGAAAATGGCCCAAGCGCTGGAGCCCCTCTCACCCATGTGGGAGTTCAAGGCCATTTTTGCTTTTGGTCCATTCCCATCTGTCAAACTGTGACCTTTTCAACTTTATTTATGAGAGTATTTCAAAAGTTCTTGGAAAATTACAAAACAGTACAAAATTACAAAATCAGTGAGTCCAAAAAATGTTGAAATCCATGCATCATTTTTTCACAATATGTATTTTGCTTGAATATTCCAAAGACCTTGTATATGCATGGCAGGCATGAATAATTAGTAATAATAATATCTACTACGAACTGCTAAGTCCACACCTGGCACTGCTTTGGAACTTTACAGATATAAAATTCATGTAATGCGCACAACTTTAACATTGACACATCCTCATTTTACAAACAAATCCACCCTCAAACCCGACCAATGAAGTCCGTGGATCCGGGTGAACCCCGGCGTTGCACGACAGGAGCTTAAGCCACGGGGTCCTCGCCGCCAAACTACAACTCCCAGCAGGCACCGGGCGCCCTCAGCCCGCGCGACGTCACGGCGGCAGAGGGCGCAGGCGGCTCTGCGAGCCCAGCCGCTCGACTGGGCGGTTCCGCTCGGACCCTGGCCCTGACCCCGGCCCCGCGGTAAGTGGCGCAACCGGCGCAGGTCCTGCCTGCCGAGGCTCCGCCGCGCACGCCCGCAGCCTCCATGCCGGCGCGGGAGCCCCGCGCGCGGACCGGGACGCGGGGGAGGGGTGTCCGGCATCTACCATATGGAGGGGGAGATGGAACTCGGGCCGATCCAAGTCCAGTCGGCAGAGGGGGAACTCAGCGGGAGGGCGCGACCCCCGAGGAGCTGAGCCCTGGGTGCACGGTAACCGGGTGCTGCACGTCCGCACGCCCGGGCCCCGGGGGCACCGGGTCTGGAAGGCGCGGGGTCGGGGTCAGCTCCGCCCCCACGGGATGGCAGCGGGGTTTCTTGCCCGCAGCCCTGGCCAGCAGACAGAGTTCGGGTCGCAGAGTAGGAGCCCCAGAAAGCCAGGATGGCGGGGCCCGGCCTGTCTGGGGAGGTGCCCGCAGGGGTGGGCAGGGCCAGCTGGCGGCTGAGGATAACGGTACCCCTGGGCGAGGAGTCTCATTCCTCCACCCGCTCTGTTCCTCGCCCGGGCAGATGGCAGTGGCTCTGCGGGGCCCTCGCCCCTGAAGTCGGAGAAGAGAGCCCGCTGCCCAGCCACGCTCCTCGCGCCCCGCGTTGGGGTCGCCCCGATCCGTCGGGTCCCCTAGCCGGGTCCCACCGAGGCGCAGGACGATGATGCTGGCGTCCGGGGTGCTGGCCAAGGGCGCCCGAGCCGGGTCTCCGCTCCGGCCCCTCCTGGGGCCCGCACTCTCCCGCCGGGCTCGCTCCACCTCAGCCACCGACACGCATCATGTGGAGATGGCACGGGAACGCTCCAAGACAGTCACTTCCTTCTACAACCAGTCGGCCATCGACGTGGCGGCCGAGAAGGTGCTCTGGGGAGGCCGGCGGGGTTGTCCCGGGAGAGGACAGGGTTGGCGGGGCAGGACAAGCGCTCATGGCCCCCCTGTCCTTGCAGCCGTCTGTCCGCCTCACCCCCACCATGATGCTCTACTCTGGCCGCTCTCAAGATGGCAGCCACCTTCTGGTAAGGTACCAGCCCCCTACTTTCCTTTTGGCTCCCGGGTTTCTCAGAAACAGCCCCCCTCCCAGGATGGGAGGTTGGAGGGGTGGTGCTGCCTTCCTTGCCTTTTTTTTTCTTTTTTTCTAGAAAAGCGGCCGGTACTTGCAGCAGGAGCTGCCGGTGAGAATAGCTCATCGCATCAAGGGCTTCCGCAGTCTCCCCTTCATCATTGGCTGCAACCCCACAATACTGCACGTGGTAAGGTAGAGAGGACCTCGTGGCAGCGTGCCCACTGTTCTGAGGGCCAGATGGGGAGCTTGGGGCCCCCAGGGGCCCCTTCCAGGATGGCCCCAGGCCTTCCAAGGCTGAGGCTGCGCTGCCACAGAGGGGGGCTTTGCATGCTGGCTTTGGGTGGCTGTCGTCTGCCTGGAGCCTGTGACAGCCTGTGAGTTCCGACCTCCTTCCCTGCAGCACGAGCTGTACATCCGTGCCTTCCAGAAGCTGACAGACTTCCCTCCGGTAAGCGCCGTGCCAGGGCTGGGGGAGGGATGTTGGAGGTCAGGGGGCACCGTCTGTGCTCATGACCCCTTGACCTGCAGATTAAAGACCAGGCGGAAGACGCCCAGTACTGCCAGCTGGTACGACAGCTGCTGGACGACCACAAGGATGTGGTGACCCTCCTAGCCGAGGGTTTGCGTGAGAGCCGCAAGCACATAGAGGTCAGGGGCAGTACGAGTGGAGCCTCTCGGGGCGGGGGGCGCCTAGGGAGGCAGGGTGGGGTGTCTGAGGCCCCATTCTCTACAGGATGAAAAGCTTGTCCGCTACTTCCTGGATAAGACACTGACTTCAAGACTTGGGATCCGCATGCTGGCCACACATCACTTGGCGCTGCACGAGGACAAGGTGGGGAGGGGGGCTCCCTCCTGCGGGTGGTTCTCGAAGCAGGGAGCCAGCCATGCGAGGACAAGGTGGGGAGGGGGACTCCCTCCTGGGGGTGGTTCTCAAAGCAGGGAGCCAGCCACGGGAAGTCTTTATTGCAGCAAGGGAGGCAGCAGGATCAAGGAGTGGGGGAGAACACCTCAACGGCCCAGAACAAAGGGTGAAGGCCCTTTTTATAGCCTAAAGGTGGTGGGTCAGAGTGCAGATGCGGCTCTAAGTGGGCACCAGGGCTGAGTGCCTCGGGATTGGTAGGTGGGCCATCAGGTAGTCCAGTGGATCGGCTGAGAACACAGTTTAAACCTAAGGGGCACAGAGCTTAAGCGAGTGGACTTTTGCCGGGTAAGCTGGTATTTAAGATGACTCTGTGAGTCTGGGTTGGTGGGGTTTCATCGGTTCTCGGGCCACTGTTCAAGTCGCTCCTTACAAGGGTGCTTCTCCATGCAGCTGCTTCAGGCTTTCGGCAGCTGCTGCAGTTGAGGAGGGGGCAGCTGCTGCAGTAGTGGTTGGAGGGGGGCAGCTGCTGCTAGTCCTGACCCACTTTTTCCCACCAGCCTGACTTTGTTGGCATTATCTGCACTCGCCTGTCACCAAAGAAGATCATTGAGAAGTGGGTGGACTTTGCCAGGTGAGGCTGGTCCGCCTGCAGGCAGGAAAGCCCAGGGCATGTTCTGGGGCGGGTTTGCCAATGCTGACACTAGGGGAGGGTATCCTGCGCAGGTCAGGATGTTTAGCAAGAGCCCTGGTTTCTGCTCATCCCCCACCCCACACACACCCAGGAAAAAATCTTCCTGTGTTGCCAGATATTGGGGTGAGGGTGGGTTGGACAGAAGGGCCTCCCACAGGGAAGCACTGGGCTGGGGGGTACCTGTCTGAGCCCCTGTTCCTGTGCGCAGACGCCTGTGTGAGCACAAGTATGGCAATGCCCCCCGCGTCCGCATCAATGGGCACGTGGCGGCCCGCTTCCCCTTCATCCCCATGCCACTGGACTACATCCTGCCGGAGCTGCTCAAGAACGCCATGAGGTGGGCCGGCTGGGGAAATGCCTGGTGGGGCAGCTGGCAGCTGGAGAGCCACCACCAACCATTCTTTGTCCCCACATAGAGCCACAATGGAGAGCCACCTAGACACTCCCTACAACGTCCCCGATGTGGTTATCACCATCGCCAACAATGATGTGGATCTGGTCATCAGGTTTGTGCCAGATGGGAGGTTGGGCCAGGGAGGGCACCAGTTCCAAGCACCAAGTGCCAGTGAGGATGGACACGGGACATGAAGACAGACCTAGCGTGGGAGGTAATGAGTCAAGCCCACATTGTGGACATCCGGCCAGGATTTCAGACCGAGGTGGAGGGATCGCCCACAAAGATCTGGATCGGGTCATGGACTACCACTTCACCACGGCCGAGGCCAGCACCCAGGACCCCCGGATCAGCCCCCTCTTTGGCCACCTGGACATGAACAGTGGCGGCCAGTCAGGCCCCATGCATGGGTGAGCCTCATTCTGGTTCAGCTGGGGAGGCTGGAGTGGGTTGGAGAGAGGGAGGGACCCTCTAGCCCATCCTGTCCCCCTGTCCGCCCCCAGCTTTGGCTTCGGGCTGCCCACCTCACGGGCCTACGCAGAGTACCTCGGTGGCTCCCTGCAGCTGCAGTCCCTGCAGGGCATTGGGACTGATGTCTACCTGCGGCTGCGCCACATCGACGGCCGGGAAGAAAGCTTCCGGATCTGACGTCCCAGGCTCAGCCTGCTCGCCTGCCCGGACTGGGCCAGGCAGGGCAGCGCTCTGCTCTGACACACCGCTGCATCTTGGGTCCTTGGACCCCTGATAAATAGACTCCTGTAGAGCTGGGCACCACTCCTCTGCAATAGGGGTTCCCTGCTTCCTCACCTCCGGGCCTTAGAGGAAGTGGAGACCCCACATGACTCCAGCACCAGCTCCAACATTGTTGTCCTCCAGGGAACCCCCACCCTGACCTGTCGTTTGTTATTAAAGTGCACATTTTGAATGCCCTCTGGGGCACCGTGTGTGGGGAGGGCAGGTGAACCCGTGAGTTTTTGCGATGCGTGTCCCAATCTCCCAAGACGGGAGTAGATCAGACCCAGGTCTCCTGCGTGTTTGACTTGGCAAGAGTGCAGGTGACTTTGGCCGTTCCCGCAGAGACCTTCCAGTCACCTCCCTTAACAAATACTTCTGGGTTCCAGACAACAGAAGCAGCCAGAGGAGATGCCGAGTTCTGATTTCCCTTCCCGATGGTCACAGGATTTATTAAGAGTTGAAGGTCACCAGACTGGGCAGCCTCCTGAGCCACCTGATGCCTGGGCCTGAGGAAGAGTAAAAATACCACCCACCTGCTGCAGCTGCCAGGGAGGGCGAGGGAAGGGTGTGTGCTGGCAGGCGCCAGCGGGGAGCGGTGCTCACCACCAAGGTAGGTGGCTGGCCAAGAAAGTGAGCCAAAGGAAGAGGCAGCAGACAGCAGGCAGGCTCAGGGTTAGGCTTGAAGCAGAACTTCCTGTGAAAAGCAGAACCCCAGCTGACACTCCCCTCAGCAAAGACCTGAGGACCAACCTGGTGGAGCTAGGAGAGGAGAGGAGAGGAGCTGTGCCAACTTCTCCCACCTCGTGGGGTCATGGAGGTCCCAGCTGGAGGGGACACAGACGGGAGGATCCGGACTCACATGGCAGATGGTGGCAGGTCACGCTGCCCGGCAGGGTGGGACTGGTGCTGGCCACGGTGGGCAGAGCTGAGGCTGGGGGGTGGACACAGCCTCCTGGGGGTGCAGCAGGGACCTGAGGATGGGTCTGAGCCTAGGAAGGGATGTTTCTGGCTGGATTCCCTAGAAGCCAACCCCAAGAAGTTTTGTGTCCCATTTTTGTTAACAAAGTGCTACCAGAAGGGAGTTAACAGCAAAGGAAGGAAAGAAGCCAAACCGAGGAAGTCCAGGGCCAGGAGAGGAGGCCTCAGGGTTGGAGGCAAGAGACTAACTGGAGGAGGGCACTGATTCCCCTGCGGAACAGTCATTCATTCAGTGTGTGGGAGGGTGGCAGGGAGGGATGTGGACTCCAGCTGCCGGGTTCAAAATTCTCTGAACAGCTGTTAGCTTGACCAAAGGAGAGCCTCCGGCTGGCTTCTGAAGACGCCTCAAGGTGAGCTAGGCACCAAAACAAGAAAAAAGGTTCCCAAGGAACTGCGAGCCAGCCACAGTCAGCAGCAATCATCAGGTCTGTGCAGTCCAAGGTAGCACGCGGTGGGGCAGCAGCAAAGAGACCCTGATCGGAGATTAGTGACCTGGGCTAACCACTAACGCAAGGGAAGGGTCAGCATGGTGACAAGAAATGAAAAGAGGCGCCTGACCCTGGGGCAGGTGCAGTTAATCAAGCTAGAGGGACTGGACGGAGAGGAACAAACAGAATTTTAATGGCTTTCTTGCCTGGTTTTTGTGAGGTTACTTGTAATGGCGCAGGCACACAGTGATCACAATCTCTCACACACACCCCACCCCATCCCCACCATTCCTTCATTTCCCAGGAAAGTTAACGGCAATTCCCACCTCCGCCCACGCGAGGGGGGAACCCAAGATAGTTCTTGATTTGTTACCGTTGAGTCCCTAAGGCCCCGAGAGTTTCACGCCTCTCAGAATTATTTATAAATCCAGTAACTACGTGATAAACCAAAGACGATCCAGAAAATGGTCAAAGGGGAGTATTTATTGGCTGCGTTCGGCTCTGCGACAGGCACGCACCTGCACGCCGCCAGCAGCTTTCGCCTTGACAATCCGTGGCCTCTGGTTTAACCACCTGCACGTCCGTGCATCTCGCTGTTAACCTTCACTGACTCGGGCAATCTACACGCCTGGACACCTGATCTCGGGGCATAGGGTCGGGACCCGGGTGTCCTCACGCACTGGCCTCGGCCGGCTTCTGCTCCGCTGGCTTTGGGGGGACCGGCTCCTTTCTTCGGGGCACCCCTGGACACACCTGTTGCAGGCCGCCGCGACCTCCACCTTAAAAACGGAGGGGTACGGCGCACCTTCACGTAGGGAGCGGTAATTGGCACACCCTGGCCTCACTCTACAGGAACCGGGGCCTTTAAAAGAGGCTGGGCAGAGCCACCGCCTCAGCGAAGCGTCCAGCGTGCGGACAGATGCTGGGCAACTCGAGCAAGCCGCGGGGATGAGGACGACCGCGCCGATAATGACGGCCGCGCCAGCCAATAATCTCCCGCTACCTCAGAGACCCCGCCCTCAACCTGACGCCCCGCCCCTCACGCACTGTCGTCCCGGAGGGAAACTGCGACGCGGCGCCTGACTCTGGCGTCATTTCCTCCACCGCGATGGCGGCCCAGGGAGCAGCAGCGGCGGTTGCGGCGGCGACTTCGGGGATCGCCGCGGAGAGCGAGCCCGGGCCTGGAGAGAACGCGGCGGTCGAGGGCACCGCCCCGTCCCCGGGCCGCGTCTCCCCACCGACTCCGGCGCGCGGCGAGCCCGAAGTCACGGTGGAAATCGGAGAAACGTACCTGTGCCGGCGACCGGATAGCACCTGGCGTGAGGGCGGGGACTGGGGCGGGGGGCGGGGACTGCGGGGAGGGGACTGCGGGGAGGGGCGGGGTCGGGGAGGGGACTGCGGGGAGGGGCGGGGTCGGGAGGGGTCAGAACCTAGGGGAGGGGCCCGGACCAGGGGCGGGGTCAGAGCCAGGGCGGGGACTGGCGAGGGGCGGGGTCAGAGCCAGGGCGGGTCCTGGCGAGGGGCGGGGTCAGAGCCAGGGCGGGTCCTGGCGAGGGGCGGGGTCAGAGCCAGGGCGGGTCCGGAAGGCGGGAACTGAGAGCAGCCGCTGGCAGGAGGTCCGGTCCCAGAGCCCAGAGGCCAAGGAAGCGGGACTGCGGCGATCAGGGCCGGGAGGCTGGGGGTGTTGGTGATCAGAGCCAGGGGACTGGTTCTTACGGAGAGGAGTGGCGGGGGACGGAGGGGCGAGCGTCGGGGTTGGCGGAGGTGGAACTTGAGGATGCGCAAAGAAGCAGCCGCTGAGGATGCAGCGCGGCAGTGGGAGGCTGTCGGCCTCAGCAGACGATGCCTAGACCCCTCCGGCTGGGTGGTTTGGAAATTCTGCTCTGTACACTGTCATAGGCTGCATTTCCTGGTCTTTGTTTAATAGCCGTGTTCCTTACTGGTGTCATTTGTAGGGAAAAGGTGGGTAGCGTGCTCGCTCTGGGTGATGTTGGGGGGAGCCTGATAGTGCCCCCCCCATACACACAGGCCGCCGACAGAGAAGACCCAGTCACTCACATCACACTGCCTTCCCTCATCTTCAAACAAACAAACCTCAAGGCCCTCAGCTTGGCGTTCATTTTTGTGCTGTTGGGGCTCCCCACCACCTCCACCAACTGCGCCTGTCCTCTGAGGATGCTTGCAGGCCTGTGACCACGGTCTGCTGCGTGGATGCCCTCTCTTCCTTCCCCCTCATTTACCTGACCCTCTGGCACTCATCCTTGAAGCCAAGCTCAAGGCAGGCAGACCCCTGCAGGCAGGATGAGCTGTTCCCCGTGCACGTGCCTGCCACATTGTTTGCATACCTCTGCCTCAGCAGTAACATAACATCATAACATCACTGTTGTCATTTCCCGTCTGTGTCCTTTCCCTTGTCAGGCTGTGCACTTCGGGAGGGCAGGGCCTCTCACGAGTCATTGCTGTGCCATCTGTACCTAAATGTAGGGCCTGACCCACAGTGGATGCCTCACTCACTAAGTGATCTTGAGTTGTCAGGCACTGTGCTAGGAGTCAGAGGTGTGCCCCCCACCCCGAGGTTGGCGCTGTCCTCTCGTGTTCCGGCCCGAGGAACCGAGCCGCAGAGTTGAAATGACTTGCCCTGTTACTTCACAGCTAGGAAGTGGCTAGCATGAGGTAGAAACTTGATCCCGAACAGATGAGCGGCTGCACGTGTACCAGGAAGTGAACCAGGAACTGAGGCCACAACTGAATGTGGGCCCAGCACTTGCCCCACCGGGGGCCCTAAGGAATCCTCGGGTTTTTCCTCACATGGTAAATAGGTGCAGTGGCCCAGCTGGCCCGCCTCCCGGAGCTGCGGTGCTGGATGGGATGGCAGACGTGGCTGGGTAATCCCCAGAGCCTGGACACTCCCTGGTCCTGCCTTCTCCCACCTGATGAGTCCGTCCTCTGCCCGCCACAGATTCGGCTGAAGTGATCCAGTCTCGAGTAAATGACCAGGAGGGCCGAGAGGAGTTCTATGTGCACTATGTGGGCTGTGAGTGACTTGGGGCATTCTGGTGGGGCCGGGGGTGGGTAGGGGCTGGCTCAGCCGCGGCCCCCTCATGACGCATCCTCGCAGTTAACCGGCGACTGGATGAGTGGGTAGACAAGAACCGACTGGCACTGACCAAGACGGTGAAGGATGCCGTGCAGAAGAACTCGGAGAAGTACCTGAGTGAGCTGGCCGAGCAGCCGGAGCGCAAGATCACTCGCAACCAGAAGCGCAAGCACGACGAGATCAACCATGTGCAGAAGGTCCGCGTCTCCCCAGGCCCGGGGACCAGCCTCCCACGTCTTTTTTCCTAAATGTTCGTTTTATTTTGTACCTTTGAAGGTTGCAGAGAGGTCCCATCTCGCTCGCTCGCTCTCTTTTTTTTTTTTTTTTTTTTTTAAGATGCTTTACTTGAAAGTCAAGTTAGAGAGACCATATATGCTGGTTCACTCCATAAATGTCTGCAACCACAAGAGCTGAACTAGACTGAAGCCAGAAGCCAGGAACATCCTACGGGTCTCCCACATGACGGCAAGGGTCCAAGGGCTTGAGCCGTCTGTCACTGGCTTCCTAGACCATCGGCAAGGAGTTGGATCAGGAGTGGAGCAGCCAGAATGCCTGCATCTCAGGTGGAGGGTTAGCTTGCAGCACCACCACTCCAGCCCCGAGAATATCGCATATTTTATTTTTTATTGGAAAGACAGATTTTCAGAAAGGACAAGGAAACAGAAAGATCTTTTCATCGGTTGGTTTACTCCCTTAAATGGCCACAATGGCCGGAGCTGAGCCAATCAGAAGCCAGGAGCTTCTTCCAGATCTCGCATGTAGGTGCTGGGTTCCAAGGACTTGAGCCATCCTTCACTGCTTTCCCAGGCCAGAAGCAGTGAGCTGGATGGGAAGTGGAGCAGCTAGGACAGGAACTAGCACCTGTATGGGATGCTGGTGCTTGCAAGAGGAGGCTTACCCACTTGAGCTATCATGCTGGCCTCAGAATGATCCCTCTCTGAAGTTCTCAGGGTGTAGCAGATGCTTTCCCTCCCTTGGAAAGGCTTAGAAAGGGCCTGTCTAAAGTCACACAGCGGGGAGCTGCATTGCTAGGACAGGAGCCCTGCCACCCAGTGCTTACATTTCTGTTCTCTAGTGGCTATGCTGCAGCAGACAAAAATGATTTGGAGTCTAAAGGAAAGGAAAAGAGTGAATGCCATTGAACAGTTGGTACCGCCCAGCCAGGCGGAGGCCTGGATGTGTGGATACTTCCTCACAATTCAGTGGCGCAGGGTCATGGCTGCTTACTGTGGTAAGGAAGCAGGCCCAGGATTGCACTGCCAGTAGCATGGTGTCATGAAACTAGAATAACCACGCCAGATGCTCACTGGGCTGTGAGCAAGCGTGTTAGACTGGCTGTTTGAGCACAGGGTCTCAGTGATGTTTCACAGTTGCTCTCCCGAGTCGACAGGAGAGACACAGATGTCTTTGAGAACCTAGCTGGGAGACTCATCTGCCAACTTGACATTGTGGTTTTTTTGGTTTTGGGGGTGGGGGAGTTTAGTATTTATTTATTTATTTATTTATTTATTGGGAAGTCAGATGTACAATGAGGAAGAGAGATAGAAAAGATCTTTCGTCTACTGATTCACTAACTGGCCGCAGTGGCCGGAGCTGAGCTGATTTGAAGGCAGGAGTTAGGAGCTTCCTTCGAATTTCCCATACGGGGCACTGTCCCAAGGCTCTGGGCCATCCTCAACTGCTTTCCCAGGCCACAAGCAGGGAGCTGGATGGGAAGCGGGGTGATCGGGACACGAACTGGCACCCATATAGGATCTCTGCACATGTAAGGCGAGGACTTTAGCTGCTAGGCTGTAGTGCTGGGCCCCAACTTGATACTCTTTAACAGTGAAAGTCAGAAATTATTGACAAAGTTTGGTTCTCAGCAAGCTATCAAGCTACACCAGCCCTGGGACATCACTCTTTCAACTAAGAATCTTTTTCAAGATTTATTTATTTGAAAGGCATTGGCATTTGATAGAGTCACCAGTTCAATCCCTACATGTCTATAGCAGCCAGAGCTAGACGAATAGCAGCTGGGAACCCGTGTTCCACTAGGCTGTCACGGGCTGTCACACACACCTCCAGCCCTTCTGGAAGGCACAGGATAGCAAGGAACCAGGCACTGTGAGATGGGAGGTTAGCACACCAAACGGCAGCCTCATCCACTATGCCACAGTGCTTGCCTGAGCCCTTTGTCTCTTTGATTCATGCATGCCTGATGGGTTCACCAAGCCCTCAGCACACTTGTGCTCCTTGGTTCACCTGAGAAGTGCCCGTTCTGTGCTTGGCGCTGATAGGTTCCAAGCCATGGCATGTGGCCTTTCAGTCCATGGCAAAACAAACTCCTTGGGAGGACGCAATATTTGCCTTTTGGGGAAGAAACGGGAAGAGAGAAGCGTCCAGGGGTCCCAGCACTGAGTAGACCTAAGTACTGCTGGGCAAAGCTTTTCTCTCAGGTGGAAGCCCATGCATGTGGATGGACAAGGTGAGCAGCCCACTGCTTCTCAGTACCAGCTGCCTTGCTCATGGGGAAGCACTGGCTCCCGTGGCTCTTGAGCACCTGCAGTGTGTCTAGTGTGCCTGGAAGTTTCTACGTTGTAGCAAGTTTCAGCAACACATGTTCCCATGTCCCAGAATCCTCTCTGGGACAGAAGTGATCAGGTCAAAGACCATTAATTCCCCCACTAGTTGGCACTCAGCAGAGGTGGCCCTGGAAACTGCCAGATGCCAAGCCAGATGAGAAGGGGTAATAACAAGCAAGTTAATGGTCGCCCATGTTCTTTGAAGCCCGATCAGTGTTTAACTGAATAATAAATCGCTGTGTTGAGTAAAGGAGTGGTTTTGTAGTCCTTTTATTGCCTTCGTAGAAGAGGGTTTTGTCACACCTGGGAAATGTGTCCTAAGGAGGCATCTTGGCAGTGTTCAGACTCTGAATTGGACAGGCCAAGGGTCCATGTCCACCGTGCTGTGTCCTGTGCCCCTGGACAAGTGGCCTCCTGTCTTGGTGCCATGGTTCCCTCTTCCATCAAGCTTGTTTTGAGAACTAAATGCGACAGTGTTTATCAGTACTTGACACTTTGAAATCAGTGGAGCTGGCTGGTGGCCAGGGGCAGTGGCCACATCTTCCCCTGCCTGTTTACTTTCTGTAAGATGGAAGTAAAAATGTTCCAGCCAGGGTTTGCTGAAAGGGCTAGTCGAGGGGCTAGCCTTCCGGCTGTTGCAGCCATCTAGGGAGTGGACCAGCAGATAGAAGTTCTCTGTGTGTAACTCTGCCTTTCAAATAAAATCTTTATTAAAAAGGGGTGGAGGGGACTTTTGAACCCATATATCTAGGCACAGTGCCTTCTCCGAGGGTGGGGTTCTGGGTACGGTTCTGGTATAGGTCATAGGCTTCCATTGCCAGGCTGTATGTGGTTCCTTCTTCGAAGTCTGTCTTAAGAACAGGATGTGCTATGTCGTGTGATTTGGTCCCTTCTTTCCCAGGAAACCAGCTGATAACCACATTCCTCCTGACTTGGGGAAGGACAGTGTTTTCTGGTCAGCAAAAATCCAGGCAGGCTTTCTGGGGGGGGTGGAGGGGTGGGGCCAGTGCTGGACTTGGAAGAACTGGAACCAGCACCATAAAAATGATTACACACTGTCACTCACGGAGTCTTTCTGTCATGGGACCCGCTTGACTCATGCCCTGTGCCAGTTTGAGGAAGCATTGTCTGGTGGCCATAAGGAAAGGGCATGGTCAATGTGAAGGAACCATGTGCAAAAATACGAGGACCAGAAGAAGGGGTGTTAATCACAGCCCGGGTTTGAGGGCTTGACCCTGGAGGCAGGCACGCTGAGGCCGAGTCAGTTGTCCAGACCTGTCATGCTGAGAGACTAGTTAGAGAATTCCAGGGTATGATCCCGGGAATGTCAGGAAGATGAGCTGCCATCCAGCTTGTGAGACATTGGCCACTGATTGAATGCCAGGCTGAGAAGGAGGAGTCCAAAGAGCAGGCCTGGTGGCAGGTCCTGGGCAGTTGGGCTCACGGAGACATGGCCAGGAGGAAGGGCTTGTGATGATGACAGGGTCTTCGTGGGAATCCCTGTGGAAGGGAGCCCTGGAAGCGATCCTTGGACAGGCAGCACCTGGTACCCAGCCAAGAGATGGGCACCGCAGTCATGTTGAGTCTGGGAAATGAGACCCATCCTATCATCTCACCACTGGCAGCACTGGATTGCCCCAATGTACAGTTGAAGCTCTTCCTAACCCAGACTTCTGATCCAAGCTTTGTTCGGTTGGCAAGAGCCGGAGGTGGGCTGCAGGGCTCTCTGGGCAGCTGGCTTGTGAGCTGTGGGTGTGGTGACTGGGTATGCAGGGTGGCATGGTGGGCTGCCCACCTTCTGTTTACCTCTGCATGCTTCTCTCCCTTCCCCAGACGTACGCAGAGATGGACCCCACCACAGCAGCCTTGGAGAAGGAGCACGAGGCAGTAAGTGGAGGCAAGGGTTTGCCTGGGCATTCCCTGCCTCAGGCAGAGGGCACTGACACATCACCCACCCACTGCTCCCACTCCTGCAGATCACCAAGGTGAAGTATGTGGACAAGATCCATATTGGAAACTACGAAATTGATGCCTGGTACTTCTCGCCATTCCCGGAAGACTATGGGAAGCAGCCAAAGCTGTGGCTCTGCGAGTACTGCCTCAAGTACATGAAGTATGAGAAGAGCTACCGCTTCCACCTGGTGAGAGAGGCTGGCCTTGGGGCTGAGCATCTAGAGGAGTCAGGTACAAGGAGGGGCTGCCCAGAGGTCTGGGGACTTCAACTCCATGCCTTTGTGGTGGGAGGACCTAGGCCAAGTTCAATGTCTGTGGATTCAGTTTCAACTTGTTTAGAATGGGAGCTGTAATCTGGCCCGTTCTGTACCCTGTACTGTGCCACATGTTTCCCAGGGCCAGACTCCTGGTAAGAAAGAGCCCCCAAAGCAAAGAACCAAAGATGTGGAGGAGCAGGAAGGGTGAGGTCATGGAGACCACCAGGAGCCGAGCACTCTGCTCGCCAGCACAAGAATCTGTGCCCAAATGTGGCAGCAGAGGTGAACATGAGTGGTTTGGTAAAGCCGGAAGCTGGCTCCTGGTACCCTGGAGGCAGGCCCACACAGACCTGAAGCCGTCTAGCCAGGTGGTGTTTGCTGGAGTCCCTCAGTCCCTGTGCCTGTAGGGCAAAGTGGCCTTGGTGCCCTGAGGCTGTTAGGGGCAGCATGTTGACCTTGGGGTCTACAGATGGCAAGTGGGGAGACTTGCTGTGTGTTGCACAGTGGGCTGGTGGGGATCACCTCGCAGGGACCCCATCAAGCCTGTGCACTCTGCTCCTCCCCTGACCAGGGCCAGTGCCAGTGGCGGCAGCCCCCGGGGAAGGAGATCTATCGCAAGAGCAACATCTCCGTGTACGAGGTGGACGGCAAAGACCACAAGGTGAGCTGCTAGCCGGGAGACTGTGGCATGGGGGGTGGGAGGGGAAAAGGGATGGCCCGCATGTCACCAACAGGGAGAGGCAGCCCGCGGGTACATCTGCCAGGTATCACAAACCTGTCCCGTGGCCTGGGGTGGGGACACAGGCCCAGCCTGTGGGCCAGGATTCCCTCAGCCCGGGGACTGAGTAGAGACTGATTAGCCTGAGGTGCACCCAGAAGTGTTTTTTCTGGTTCCCTGCACACTGGAAAGATTATTTTCTTTTGCCTGGGACAGATCTGCTCTGTGTGAGATTTTCTGCCAGAACTCTGGTCAGCAGGCAGCTGAGCCAGTTCCTGTTCCTGGCGGAATGACTTCCCTGGGCCAAGGTGGGACCCCTGGGGCCTGCTTTGCTATTGTTGAGAGCTTGGCCTTCATGCTGGTCAGTCTGACAGGACCTCAGCCAAGTGCCCAGTTCCTGTGAAAGGGCAGTAGAGGCAAGAGGGCAGCGATCAGACAGGGTTGTGGTACAGCAGGGGGAAGCCACCGCTTGGGACATGGACATCTCATGTGGGAGCCAGTTTGGGACCCGCTGCTCCGCTTCCCATCTTGTTCCCTACTAATGGCCTGAGAAAAACAGTAGAAAATGGCCCAAGTATTTGGGGCCCTGCCACCCATATGGGAGATGTAGATGAAGCTCCTGGCTCCTGACTTCAGCCTGGTGTAGCCCTGGCTGTCATGCCCACTTGGGGAACTATTAGATGGAAGAGCTCTCTTCTTTCTCTCTCTCTTCCCCCACCACTCTGTATGTATGTCTTCCTCTCTCTGTAACTCTAACTTTCAAATAAATAGATGTTAAAAAAAAAAAGAGGGCAAGCTTGGCAGTGACTCCTGGCTTCAGCTCGTCCCGTTGCTTCCGTGGCAGCCCCGAACAGCTTCCTTGTTCTTCTTTGTTCCTGTTTCTTTACGCATAAAACAGGAGTCAGAATGCTTACCTGACCAGGCTGGTGGTGGAATAAATGCAACCACCCACATCAGTTGTTGAGTGTACTGCCTGGTGTCTGGCAGGTGCCCAAACACGTGGGCCTTGGTCATTATTGGTCAGAGCAGGTGCCCTACTGAGCTTGGGCAGCACCCGTTCGGTGCCTGGGTCCTGCCCTCTGCCCTACCTTCCTGAACAGGAGCTGGTGGAGTGGGGAAAGGGCTGCCCAAGGACTGGGAGGGTCTTGCCCAGCTCTGCCCCTTCCTAGCGTGAAGCCCTCAAGCAAGTGTGTCCCGTCTCCGAGCTTCCTTTCCATCCTGAGTCCTGTGGGACTGGCAGCACCACCCTCCCAGAGCGGGTGTTGAAGGTGGGCGGGCTGGGAGGCCAGGCTCCAGGCAGAGGCTGCGGCAGGAAGCCCAGCAAGGGCCAGAGGGAGCAGGGCCAAGCTGGCAGACAGAGCTCGGGGCTACTGAGGGAGACAAGCGACTCGGCCAATGTTTCCCAGGCACCTGGCTGTAAGCTAAGCTTGGCGCAAAGTGCTGAGGATGCAGCAACGAACAGGACAGAGCTCACGATTGATCCTCGAGCAGGCCCCAGCTTCCTGATCACCAGCCTGGCCCTCGCAGAGCAGGTGGCCTCTGGGCTCAAGCTGGGCAGGGGAGCCATGCTTGCACCCTGAGCCTAGGTGGTCTCTGCCCCTCTCCACAGATTTACTGTCAGAACCTGTGCCTGTTGGCCAAGCTTTTCCTGGACCACAAGACACTGTACTTTGACGTGGAGCCCTTCGTCTTCTACATCCTGACCGAGGTGGACAGGCAAGGGGCCCACATTGTCGGCTACTTTTCTAAGGTGCTGGTGCAGAACACTGGGCGAGGGGAGGTGGGGGAGGGGACCAGCTGGAGCAGGGGCTGAGCCTCCCGACGACCCCCCCCCCCCCCGCAGGAGAAGGAGTCTCCAGATGGAAACAACGTGGCCTGCATCCTGACCCTGCCACCTTACCAGCGCCGCGGCTATGGGAAGTTCCTTATCGCGTTCAGTGAGTGGTCCCCAGCCCGTGTCCCTTGCGGGGAGGGGGTAGCCGCCAGGGCTGGGCCGGAGCCTCACCTTCTCTGCGCCCCCACCCCACCACCACCAGGTTACGAGCTCTCCAAGCTGGAAAGCACCGTGGGCTCCCCAGAGAAGCCGCTCTCTGACCTGGGCAAACTCAGCTACCGCAGCTACTGGTCATGGGTCCTGCTGGAGATTCTGCGTGACTTCCGGGGCACATTGTCCATCAAGGACCTCAGGTGCAGGCCCAGGCCCTAGCCTCAGCCAGCTGCCCCTGGTGCTCTTAAGATGGGCTGGGATCCTGTCTTTCAGTCCCCTTTAGCTGGTCTAGCCAGACTCCCTCTACCCCCTCACCTCCCCCAGTCAGTCCCCACTCCAGGACTCATCCCAGTGTCTACTCTAATTCCTTACTAGCCAGATGACCAGTATCACCCAGAACGACATCATCAGTACCCTGCAGTCCCTCAATATGGTCAAGTACTGGAAGGGCCAGCACGTGATCTGTGTCACGCCCAAGCTGGTGGAGGAACACCTCAAAAGTGCCCAGTATAAGAAACCTCCCATCACAGGTGGGTGGGGGCTGCCCTGTGTGTGCGTGAATTTACGTGGGGCGGGGAAGGGGTAGGCGTGAAGACTGTACTGTTGGGAGCCAAGATCTCCTTTCTGCTGTCACATGATCCCAAACCAGTCAAACTAGCTCCCAGGGCCCAGGGCCCAGGGCCCAAGCCTCAGGCAGGCTGCTCCATTCCTGGGCTTCCCTGCCCCCTCCCCAGGACAAAGTCTGCCCTTTTATTCTGGCCCAGAGCAGGTGAAACCTGGCCTGGGTCCAGAAAGCAGGGTGGATCCAGAGAGCAGGGTAGGTGCAGGCTTGGTCCCACCTGCCTCTCATGCCCCTGCTTCCCCCCACCCCCCACAGTGGACTCCGTCTGCCTCAAGTGGGCGCCACCCAAACACAAGCAAGTCAAACTCTCCAAGAAGTGAGCAGCCTGTGCCCTGCCGCGGGCCCTGCGCCTCGGAACCCCTGTAAATATGTACAGCCCCGTCCAGGACTTTGTGAATAAAGTGAATTCTGCTGGAGACTGGGCTTTGGAGGGGCTAGAGGAAGAGAGCCACCAGGCTTCGTCGCACATCACACCCAGCCAGCTGTGCTGTACGCATGTTTAATCCTTCCTTCTGGTCCCCACCCCAATCCCAAGCCCCAGCCTAACTCCAGTGGGGGCTCAGTCCTCCGGAGTCCACGAGTCGGGGCTCAAGGGAGCTTGGTGACCAATAGGGCAAGATTGGGCCCTCTCCTGTTCTGAAGGCAACCGAGCCCAGAAGACAGGAGGCCAAGTGACGGCTCGGTGGACAGGTGTGCTGGTGGGCCAGAGAATCTGGCCCAACCCTCAGCAGCAATCAGCTGGGTAGCTACCCAGTTTCAGAGAAACAAATGGAAGCCAGGGCTCATCTCACGTTGGATTGTCCTTGGGAGTTTGGGAGGAGCCCAGCCTGTGGGCTTGCAGATGGCAGATGGAGGTAGCCAGGACCGCCAATCGAGATACAGGCTTGTGGGTTATAAGCCCATAGACCAAGCCAGAAGAATGGGCTCGAAGATCAGGTTAGGGCCTGGCCTCCCACCTGGTGTGGCCCAAGCCAGGCCCTTCCTGGGAACAAGGCATCCAGCGTCCATCCTCAGGTGTGATGTGTCCAAGCGGGAGCAGCTTCCAGGGCTATTCACTCACTGCTTGTGCCACAGGCAGAAGAGGCTCAGGGTCAGGCCTAGTGGCAGCAGGAGGCTAGTCTGCAGCCCACGGAGGGCTGGCGCCGAGCTACAGAGGTAGCTGTCAGGCTGGGACTCCTGGGTCTCAAGCATCACACGAGGCTGCAGTCCAGGCACTTTTTGCTGGATCCAGGAGGCATAGCGTGAGGTCAGAGTGTACACCCCAGGCCTATTGGGGGCCCCACAGGCATCACCCCAGCTCACAATGCCTGCCAGATACCAGTGGCCATCCATACGACAGGAGAGTGGGCCCCCGGAGTCGCCCTGAGGAGAAAAGTCACAGGACAGTGTGAGGACCAGGCTCGAGGGGCTGTCATCTCCTGGGAGTTGCCCGGCTCCCCGCTCCCGCAGCCCTAACCTGGCAGGCGTCCTTGCCCCCCGTCACATAGCCTGCACACAGCATGTCGTCCTGGATGACGTGGGGCTCCTCAGGGTTAGCGTCAATGTTGTACAGACGGTTGCATGTCTCACGGCTAATGAGCGGCACCTCCAGCTGCTGCAGGGGCTTGGGGCTCGGAAGGCTCACTGTGGACAAGGTGTTGCTTACCTAGGGCTTCCCACCCCAAAGCAAGCCCCCCACGTCCCCCCTGAGCATTCATGCCCTGTCCTCACCTGAGGGGGCCACATAGCCCCATCCAGTAACGGTACATTTGAGGCCATTGGGGAAGGAGGCGTTGGCTGCAGGAAGGCAGATGGGCCGGATATAGCGGCTGAAGTTGACCGTTTGCTTGAGTTTGAGCAGCGCTATGTCGCCCTGGGAGCCCTCCTCTTGGTAGTCTGGGTGGACGATGACTTCACTTGCCATGCAGGTCTCGGTGACATTAGAGTAGGAGTCTAGCTGGTCAGCCCCCAGCTTGATGTCATAGTCTTTCACATCATGTTCACTGCAAGCACAGGCGGGGGTGGGGAAAGGGCAGGCAGAAAGGGACCCCTGGTACCTTATGGCCTCCAACCCCACATGCCATTCCCAGGTGGCACCTTTTAGGCCTCAAGCAGGACCCTAGTTTTAGCCCGTGACCTGTAACCCCTTGCCTTCCCTCCTGGCTGGTGTTTCAGCCTTGGCTGATACCCTTGGATCCAGTCCAAAGACTTGGCCTCTGACCTGGATTGACAGGTGAATGTTCACTGCCAGCCCACTTTGGAAAAAATGCCTTATTTGAACTGTAGTGAGACAGAGCTCCCATCTACTGGTTCACTCCCCAGTAGCCAGGGCTGGGTCAAGATCAAATCCAGGATCAGGAACTGCCATGGGGGTAACAGGGACATAAACACTTGAGCCTCTGGAGCAGAGCCAGGACTTCAACCCTGGGTATACATGGCATGTGGGCAACCCAGCGGCTATGCCAAAGGCCCATTCGTTTTATGCTAATGTATCAGTCAAAATTTCAGACCCCTTTGGCATTCCACTCCCTTCCCACCACCCAGCTGGTACCTGGGGAAGCAGTGAGCAGCTGACAGTACCCACTGGTCAGAAACAAGAGAACCACCACACACATGAACGCCATTGTAGAGGATGCTGACTTGCCAGGGCCACTGACCAGGTTTGGCATTGCTCCCACCGGTGATGCGTGCTTGGACAACGGTACCGCAGGGGACTGGGGAAGGGTGAAAGGGGGTCAGGCCACAGCCGCTGTTGAGCCATCCCATGGAGTCTGGGGTAGAGCTTGGGGTGGCTTTGTCCCCAACCCAGCCCTCAGCCAGTGTTGAGTTCCCATCCCTTGCTGCCCATACCCGCTGGCCCACCCACTGCTCCAGCCCCAGACACAACTTGACTGCACTTGGGAGGTTTCCAAAACCTCATGGAAAGTGCAATTATGAAAAGCCATGCGTAGTTTTCAATGTCCCATCAAGACAGACTCCCATTTTTTTTTCCATACTGTTTTCCATGGACTTTCTGAAGGCATCTCTCACAAACGGCCTCCTTTAAATCTTCACTTGTCTGGAGCACTCTGCCTCGGAACCCTTTCCCTGACCTTACTCCGCTTTGCACATTCTCTCAAGCTCCTCCATCACCTGTCTTGACCCTGCTGTTTGGGCATGGCCTCCAAGCTGCCCCATCCCACTGTTGTCTTCGGACAATTGTGTTCCCATGCATGCAGTTCCCCAGCCAGTCCCAGCTGGAGTCACGGGCGGGCGGGTAGACCGAAGCCCTTCCAAGCCAGCCCCAGCCCTCCCCTCCCTGAGGCCACAGTTGGGAGCAGAGCCGGAATGCCCTTCACAGAGTCACCTCCAAAGGAGCAGAGACCCAGCAGTCATCATCATGACAATAGCCTCTATTTAGTGTTTGCTGGCTGCCTCAGCACCTGGCTTTCACTTCCTTTATCTCTTCCCTCCTCGCTATAGCCCCTGCAGAGGAACACCAAGACCGCCTCGGGTGGGGGCGGTGAGGACACCTGCTTAGGGAGGCAAGGGGACTGAGAGGGAGGCACCCGTCAGTGGTGAAACCAAGCTCGAAAATGGTCTGATTCACCAACTGTGGAGCCTTCGAAAGAGACCTTTGGTTTATTTCGTTCAAAACAACCTTGAGTGCCCCACCTCGAGAGTCCAGAGTGAGTATAAAAATCCAGCTGTGTATCCTTGGACAAGCCAGTTCCTCAGGGTTCTTACCCATAAAATCAGGCAGTAACCCCCCAGTCACAGAGCAGATAGAGGAATGGGTTGGCTGGCTTCGCTTCGGGGGAGACACTTGTTAAACCCACTGGGAGAATGTGAATCCTAATCCCGTCCCCTCCCCCAGTTCCCCAGCCAGTCTCACCTTCAGCCTCATCAGCTCCTAGAGAGAGGAAAGAGAAGGAGGGACGGTTAAGCAGGGAAGAAGCACCTGCCGCTTCTCCAGAGGCCTGGCCCCTCTTTGTTTCTAGGAGGGCCAAGCCACCTCCGAAGGAAGAGGGAGGCTGAGAAGCAGGGAGGCCGGGGCCGGGATAAGCGAGGTGCCCCTGGAAGAGCACTGTGCCCTACGCCCAAAGCCCCTGAACTCGCAAAATGCACTCACCCATTCCAGCCTGGAGTAGTCCAAAAGAGAGCAGAATGGCCACGGCTTTGAGCTTCCCAGGCCCCAGGCCCGTTTTCCGGGCCATGGCCCAGGATGAGGGCCCCCCGGGAGAGCAGGAGAGACACCAGGTAGACAAAGGAAGAAACCGGAGCTGGTTTCCACAGCAGGATCCAGGTGTCTGACTCCAAAGTAAGGGGTTCTGGGATCTGAGCTGGGCTGGGAGGAGAAAGCTGGCTTCCAAGGGAGACAGCTGCCAGGCGAGCACGTCTGGAGTTAAAAACAGGCAGCAGTAGAAGCGCGACTCCGGCTGGCCCGGGCCACGGAGGCAGAGACTTCTCCGGTTGCAGCAGCTCAGGGGAAGGCACCTACCTGCTGGCCCCTCCCCTGGCCCCGCCTGCCGGTCGCCTGAGCTCCAGCCCAGTGCTCTCAGATCCCCCCAGGCTGTGTGTTGGGAGGTGGGGACTGCGGTCTGGGACTGGGCTAGAGACCTGGTGGGCTGGCCATTGTCAAAGGCCCAGGCCTACCAGGTCTCTAGCATGAGTTAATGCCCCTACCACTGCCCCCTAGCACCTGGCCCAGCCTTATGCGACTGAGTCCGGGTCACCAGTCAGCTTCACCTGAGCTTCACCTGCCAGCCATTGCACAAATACTGATCCAGGGTCTGTCATATCCCTGATGCTTCCCTGAGCAGGAAGGGGGCAGGAGAGGTGGCAGATGGGACCTGAGATCACCATAAAACATTGACACACTAATTTCAAACTGGGACTGGATACAGACAAGCACTGGGGTTCAGATAAGAGGGCTCAGCAACTTGAGGGGTTCTGGACAAAGTGCCTTGAGAACTGAGGCCTAAAGAGCGTGTTGGATGGTATTAATGGAGATGAGGGGTGGGAGGGACAGTGGCACAGGAGAATGTTCTAGAATTCAGGACCCAGGTGCAGCGGTTCAGGGAAAGGAGACGGTAGCCGTCAGATGCACTTCTCCGAGAATCCTTGGCAGCTTCCGATGGATGCTCTGGACTCAAGCTTCAGGAGAAACACCCTTACCTCCTCACCAACTTTCCCAACTCAGCAGGAAGGGAGTTTAGGGTCCTGGCTGGGGGAGACCAGGGAAGTCCCGGTGTGAGTCAGCGGGAGGATCCAGCTGGGCGCTCACTGGGAGAGAGGACGGGGTGAGTGGAATGGTGGGCAGTGGCTTGTGGGGGGCAGGCTAGCCATAGAAGCAGGTGGGGATGCAGCTCCCTGTGGAGATTCCAGGGACTATTCTCTTTGGTGTCTAGTGGCTCAGGATAAACCTGGCCCTTTAAGATGCTCTTCTCTTCCACAC